TATTTGGCCCTACTGAACGCGTTTGAACGCACACGTTAGATGCATTCAAACAGCTACATAGCGTGTCAAACACATGTACACTCAGCTATGGACTCGTCTATACAAGGATCCAACGACTACCCAAGAAAAAGCTAGGTACTCCCTAGTTGGACCACCACAATATCCCACCATTGCAACAATTCAATGTAGATGAAGAAGAGGAACCCAAACAAGGGTGTGCTATCAACAGTAACAGTCAAAAACAAAAACAAATCCACCACAATATCCCACCATTGCAAGAACGATTCAGGTCATTTGGCAATAGATACATTATGTCAGGGGTTAGACTGAAAATCAAGCATGGGACACCACCCAGCACATTCAAAAGAAGACCTAGACACCATCCGGGGCCAGGCCCCACTAGCAAAGAGCATTGGATTCAGCTCCTGAATCTGGATGTGTTTGCAGCAGAAATGCAGAAACGCATTCCACTCTCGATTTCTTGCACCTTTCCAAAACCACGCCCACTTTCAGGCCTTCAATCCGCTCCTTTTCGCTAGTGGCACCTCACCCCTAGGTGCTACTTGCGTACTCTGCACACAAACCGTCCTCCCCCCCACCCCCAAACCTCTACCCTTCGGCACTGGTCACACAACCCCTACCTCCCTTACAAAAGTTTTACGCCCTTTGCGGAGTGGTGAACAGATTACACCACCCGCAGTACAGTTCCGTGAGATATCGGCCTGATCAGTGGGGCTACGATCCCCCCTCCAACCGACTTCCCGCTCTCTAAGGGATGGCTGAGAACTCACCCTCAGCACTCTGCAAAACTAATAGCCTACTACCCACCCAATGCATGCATTCATGGTAAAAGGACTTCAAAAGCTGGCCCCATGGGGGCGAAACTTGGCAAAAAAGTTTGCCAGTCGCCCTTCCATTTGTCCAGTGATTGGTTTCTGATAAGCAAGAGCAGAAAGCCAACTCAGAGCTATTGGATGAAAGTCCATTAAATCAATAACTCATAGCACTTCGACAGGACGCGAATAAGATATAATCAAACAGACAAATTAGATCTCACACAAAAGTCTTTCACACAATCATTCGCGCATCCCCCTTCCTTACCAAACATCAATCCAGGGCATTGATTAGACATGCGGGCATTTGCACCCAACATCTGTAGCGGACCTCGGGTTGGCCTGTGAGACCAGCCCCTTGGCCTGTTCTCACAGGCCTGTGTTATATTCGGGGTAGGCCAGTCCAGGCCGGTACCTCTGTCGGTACCAGCCAGTCCAGTCCAGTC